AGGAATTCTTGTAACACAACAACTTGATGTCTCTTGCATTTTCACACTAGTGCAATGTTCATAATCTTCCTGGAAAACCGACATTAGCTACACATGTAATTCAAGAAATTTATTTTTAACAAAGAGTGCAAGCAATTGTTTTCAGAGATACAGTGTACTTTTTTATTTTAAACATACTGTACTTTGAAGAAAACTTACATACAGAAATTATTTTTGCAATAATACACTGAACTTCAGTGCAATTAAATTTCTGCATACTATAATGTATTTTGAAAGTTTGCTTCAATCTAAACATTTCTAGTAGGAAAGTCATTATCTGTTGGAATATTCACGGAAGGCAGTGCAACAACCAGAATTTAAATAAAACCAGCGTTGAATGTAATGAAACGCCATTTTCAGGGTAAGACCCGGAGGCTCTCCGGAGCTTTCCAGGCTGATATGGATATATTAGACATTGGCATCAGTCAGTGTGAATGGAGTTCTAGGCCTACCGGGGACTACGAGCCAGAACCTGGCCCCTTCAGAGAGGCACGAGGAGCAATGGGCTATAGAAATCCCCTGTGAGGTTGGAAGCATTCTATGTCTGCCATCAACTGGGTCCGGCACCCAGAAAGGTAAGTGCTCCAAAACAAACCCTTATTTTAGTTAGGAAATTGCTACTGAAAACTGAACTAGTGGACAAAACTGCCCAAACGAAAATGAGTAAACGAGCATGATGTCACCATGTCACCGCGCAACTTGTCTGCCTGGGAAGGGGGAAGGGAGAGCCCTAGATCCTCACACTGGCTACCCACACCCCAGTTCTGAGGCTGGATGTCATAAACATGCAAAAAAAAAGCCGACTGGAGGCAGGGAGGGAAACGGGGAGCCTCCGGGTCTCACCCAGAAAATGGCATATCATTATATTGAAAGCTGGTTTTTTGGGCGGAACCCCTTCGGCTCCCCGGAGCTACCCAAAGACAAAAACAAAAGGGATCAACCCAGGAAGCGGTCGGCACTCGCTCCTCAACCCCAAGTTGAGACAACTGGCTGCAACCGCCGTCCCAAAGCGACACAGGCCTGACTAGGCCCAGGAACATTGACCAGGTAGCGTGCAGCAAGGACCCTGTTCGACTGCCAAAAACCCCGTGCCTGAATGTCAGCCCAAGACATGTTACAAAAGATGGCAGCAAGCGCAGCAAACTTACGAACGTCGTGGGCACGGGAATACACTGCAGGCTGGCTGGACCGAATAACCCTGAGGACAATCTGGAAGACCCAAACCCTGGAACAGGGAAGAAGGGAAACCAGATCAACCCAAAGCACATCCCCGGACACAGAAACCGTGGTTTGCAAATAACGGCTGAGAGCTGCAACCGGACAACACACGATGCACCTCCATCCTAACCAACCAAGCATCAACAACCCAAGGACCCCTCCGGAAAGCAGCAGTCTCATTCTTTGTTAGAAAAGAATCGGCAACAACCGAACAAACCTACCACCAGGACCAGGACCAAACAAGCAGAAACCCCTGTGCTGGAGGAGAGCATGAAGCTCCCCAACCCGACCCCCAGAGGCCAATGCCAATAGGAAAAAAAAGCCTTAGAGAAACAATCCTGAACCAAAGGGGCCACTACAAACCGAGGAGGAGAGAAAGGAGAGCACCTGATCTAAAGACCAGGACGGCTCAGGCGGTGCATGAGCAAGCCAGAGGTGGTACCCCTTCTAGGTTATATATATATATATATATATATATATATATATATATATATATATGGCACAACTCTCCTAAACACGAGGAAATTACCATCTCTTTTAAGGGTCTGAGTAGGTGGTGGAGAGGGTTAAGGCGTACCTGTTATGCCAGTTGCTGGAAGGCTTCTGTGCTGGCTAGGGTTCGAGTCTCCTGGTGGGAAAGTGTTCTAAAGTTGTATGTATGTATATATATATATATATATATATATATATATATATATATATATATATATATATATATATATATAAAAAATATATATATATATATACACACATACACAGTATAGTGTATATATATATATATATATATATATATATATATATATATATGGGAAACCAACCAAACACAGACCTCCAAACAGGCAGGGAAACAGAAACAAAAGAAAAACCCACACGAGGACAACATACCCAGGTGGAACAGAGTCGGCCACTGTAAAGGTTGAAAACTAGCTGTGCAGTACTCTGCACCCCACCAGTGCAAACTACCCCTTACCCTAAGGCAAATAAGGGTGTATGAAACACCCTAGCACACTCAGGGCAATCGATCACTGAGCAGCAAAAGACCAAGCAGAGGTAGAACCCAAGGTGACTTGTGGAAGGTGGCCTCAAGCCTCAAGGGCAGTACTTATAGGGCACTTAGGGAAGGTGACCCTAAGCGCATGCAGCCCGAGTACTCACGGCTCGCGCACCACCAGAAGCAGTCCCATCCCACAAGGCACAGAGCTGAAAGCCAAGAAAGCAAGAGCCGGAGTCACATGATCCCAGCCTTTCACATCAGCCTAAGAACTGGGGTCTGGGTCTCCCTCTTCCCGCTCTCAGGGAGAGGGGGGAGCAGTGCAGACAAGCGGTGCGGTGAAGTGGTGACATCATGCTTGTTTGTACATTTTCGTTCGGGGAGTTCTGTCCACTAGTTTGACTTTCAGTAGCAATTTCTTAACCAGAATAGGTGTTGTTTTGGGGCAATTACCTTTCTGGGTCCCTGACCAGGTCGATGGCATACATAGAATACTTCCAACCACACGGGGGTTTCTATAGGCCATTGCTCCTCGTGTCTCTCTAAGGGGGGCCAGGTTCTGGCTCGTGGTCCCCGGTAGGCCTAGAATTCCATTCACAGTGACTGATGCCAAAGTCTGATACAGTATATCCATATCAGCCTGGATAGCTCCGGGGAACCGAAGGAGCTCCCCCCAGAAAAGTACATTAGATTACCATAAGAGTAAAAAAAAAGTAACAGTTATACACCAAGATTTGTGTAACAGTATACATTATTTCAACTAAGCCACATAAAGCATAAATAAAACACCAAAACTGCACCAGCAAACACAAAATCTTCCACATTTTGTATGAAACACTGTGGCATTTTACGTACATGAAAGCAAAGCATTGAACTTTTACTAACCATTACACACACACACACACCCTGTACATGCATCTCTTATGCTCAGCTACATACAGTACTGATGAATACAAGATTTAGTGAACACACTGACACCCTTGCCCATCATTTAGAAACATCTCCAACACTAAACCCTCAACTACATGGTAAGATAACACAAGTACATCAAATCAAAAGTAATCAACATTGATTGTAAAGAATCATCAATTCTTCAATAAGGTATGCACAAAAATTTATTGCTCATGAGTTAGAAAGTACTGTACCTGCAGTGAAGTGAAAGTTTTATGACGGAGGATAAAAATATGTACGCACAGCAGACTCCATCTATGTACAGGAATCTGTATAATTGTTGATTGATAGTTGAGAGACGGGACCAAAGAGCCAGAGCGCAACTCCTGTAGCACAACTACGTGAGTATCAAGTGTCTTATATACAGTACGTATTTCCTGAAATTGTCTGGGGCAGCGACTAATTTTATATTTACCTTAATTTTGAAGTCTAAGGAATCTCACCGACACGACTGTGACTGGCCGTCCTAATTACGCACATAGTCAAACACTGCACCCTATGGAAGAAGCAGAAACACATGCCCAGTGTGCATCACTTGATGCTAGTAAACAATTACTGTTTTGTTCAACACCTAACAGTCATAATATGACAAATGTCACAACAACATGGCTGAAGATATGATGACCAAACCACATATCAGAAAACGAAGAAACGACTTGAAAATGGTCCAGGATGGTCCGAAATGTTGTCGTTTCTAATTTTCTGCATGGTTTAGTCATCACAACATGATCCTAATGCATAGTTCTGTTCCTCATTCAACACCTTACAATCATAATGCACAGTTTTGTGCCTCACCTAAAAGTTTGAAAACACACCAAAACTTCCATTTGAAATCTGGAATATACATAAAAACTAGCCTGGTGACACAGTTATAACAAGAAAATAAAGTAACTGTTTATCACTGGTGCTACATTTCATCAGAATTATTGGAGGACAACTGCACAGATGCCTACTGTATGAAGCAGCAGCTCAAAGCTGCCATGCTCTTTATGAAACAATACAATTCTTGACGAAACAGTGATAAATGGCAGTTTGTTAGGCAAATGCAATTATTGTATTTACAGTTTGGGAAACATTACTGATTTAATTCTTGTGTGTACTAAATTACATATGTGAATTTGTTTTGTTTGTACAATGGTACCTCAGCTTACGAAACTCTTTACAAACTTTTCGGGCTACGAGCCCGATTTCTTTGGAAAATTTGAATCGGGTTACGAACGTTACCTCGGGAAACGAGTCTGTTGATACGCGTATGGTGGCACGGCAATCGCTCCTCAGTTTACCAGTGCCTCCCGCCTAGTGACTATCGTGCATGAATTCTTTGCAAGGATTTACAGTTTTTTTTAGGATTTTTCGCTATTTGAACATAAAAATTTGTTATTATATATCTCGCTATGGGTCCCAAGAAAGCCAGTAGTAAGGTTCAAGGAAAGAAAACACAAGTGAGAATGACCATAGAGGAAAAACAAGAGATCATTCGTATACATGAAAATGGTACATGTGTTGTTGAATTAACTAGGCGGTACAACAAATCTTCAGGGGAGGGGGAGGAGACAGTAGAGGCTGTCCCTTCCTCCTTAATTAAGAAAATTTGTGCAGTACGGGAAGAACTGCAAAGTTTTGCTGAAAAGAATCACCCAGATAAAGCTGTAGCAGGCCGTTGCATTGATCTTATTAATGACAATGTGATGTCTCACTACAGACAAATGTTACAAAGAAGGGAAAAACAATCTTCAATGAAACAATTTCTAGTAAGAAAATCAAGCAGTGACTCAGAAGCAGGTCCTAGTGGTATGCAGGCAAAATGTGCCAGAGTGTGTACCCCAGAGAAGTCATCACTGCCTGATGTTATAATGGAAGGGGACTTCCCTTCCAAACAGTAACACCTCTCCTCTACCCTCCCCTCCTCGCCGTCTTCCATATGCAAACAGGAGTCATCAATAAAAGTAAATAATAACTTGTACAAACTTTTGTACTCAAGATTTGGGTGAATTAGGTATAAAATTTACTTTGAAATTAATTTTTTGGGGAATCTGGAACGGATTAATTCAATCCCATTATTTCTTATGGGGAAATTTGCTTCGGTTTACGAATTTTCAGGCTACGAACGTCTCTAGGAATGGATTAAATTCATAAACTGAGGTACCCCTGTATAGTACAATGTTTCAGAGGCCGAAGTCAACCTATTAATATTTTCTAAAGTTAGCATAAAATGACGTTCACAGTTGGCAAGTGCATGGTTAAATCCACACACATAACTAAGTACTAGCAATTTTCTACTATATAGTATTTCAACTACAATAAGCAAATACTGTAGATTTCGCGTTACAGAATAGGTTTAAAATTAGTTATTAAGAAAACTCTAACTTTGTACACAGATACAGCAAAGAACTGATGTAGTATCTCACTCTCTCTATCTCTCTCTCACACACACACACACCTGCTGCTGATGAATGTCACCTATTCATTGTGATCGAATGGCACCCATTCATTGTGTGACTGTCATTATCATACTATAGAACACAAGGAGTTCTTGTGTTCTATAGTATTCTATATTTATGAGTGTATATACATTAGTGCCTTCAGTATATAAAGAACCTTTCAATTACAAGATTGCTGAATTTATTCAAGTTACTTCTTCAGCTCTCTATGTACATGAAAAACTTAAATTATCAATATTAAAGTGGAAGGGAAATGTTGACAATCCATTTGTACATAAAGATACAGTTCACATCATGTATTAATATAAAAATAAACACTAGGTGCTCTCTTTGTACTTGTGCAACATCATACACTTGCATATTCTATCATCATAAATGTATTCTGAGCATATTAGCCGCTAGTTGTAACCCTTAGTGAACATCTAAACACGTTCCCTTGGATACAAGTTTAACCTAGTATCAGGTATTGTACTTTTAAATTTAAAAGTTCACGTCACTGTATAATTAAACACATTACTAAAACCAGAACCGTATGCAAACACTTTACATATAAAATTGAATATACAGTTAAAACACTGACAATTCAAACTACAAATTTAAAATAATAGTACAGTGTTACTTGTGGTTCTACCTGTTGGGGTCTAGAGCCAACAGCCAACCACCCACATCCGTCATCAGAAGCTAAGCCACACAGATACTAAAACCTTACTATTGAATATTACAATGCCAAGTTGACGTTAATCGAGTAAAAACAGATCCAGTTCAGGGAATTTAATTTATTTACTTTATATATATACTTTATGCAAGGATCCATATACTTTATGCAAGGTTGTCTCAGTTATTTAATGTAATATATTTTTTCCCATTATTATTCTATTCAATTTTTTTGTCACTACTATCTTCACTCATGCTATAAATAATTCTTTATACTTGCTATAAATAATGTATTTATAGCTATAAATATTATTTATAGCATAAATAATAAGGTAGAACAATTATTGAGTGATAATTATTTGATGCACATTATGTACATGACTGGACACCATTACAAAATTCTGGGCAACTGCATAATATGAAATTCAATGCTTAGACAATATTGAGATGTTAAACAAAATATTAATTCATGGAGCAAGATGTACATGAGTAATAAAAAAAAAAAACTCACTAAACATTATTTGCTTGTGGCACTCAATATTTGATAAAAACTATACAAATACACTGGGCTTTTATTTCGGCAAAGTTCCGTCACATTTTACCCATCATTCAACATTATCAACACGAATGAGTACTTAAACAAATCCTTATGTTGCACATTTAAGACAGGATAAAATACAAAATGTAAATATCTATCTTCTATTTTGTCTCTCCCTAGTTGCCAGTCTGTACCATGCAGGATTTTGGTGGTCTTGCAAAGCCTCCCTCACCAGCTCGTCTGGGGATGGACAATCAAACTTAAATATGCGGAAGGGAACGTGTATGATTTTTTCAGTAAGTCGCTTAACTTGAGGAGTGTGGGGTATTCTCACCATCACTTGGCCAAAGGTAGATGGACACACTTTGCACAAGGATGAATCAGTCTCAAACTGGTTTTGTTCTATTGTTATCGAGGTATTCTTGCATTTCTCACTAGCAGGTGCTGGGATGCTCTCTTCGTGTGGTTTTACGAGGGCTGCTTGCAAGTCAATATCAGGTGTCATATCCTCTTCCTCTTCCATTTGAAACATCATTTCTTGGTTTTCTTTTTCAGAATAATGAATGCCAGGTATACAATATGGATGATTATGGCTGTTAAAGGAGTCATAGATTTCAGTTGATTGCTTTACTGGTAATGGTAAATTCCAACCTGGAATTACATCAGGTTGGTGTTGTGGATTAACATGGGACAGTTGACCAGGCTGGAGATTACTAGGAAGGGAAAACAAAGATGGAGGCAAGAAGGTCGGTGACTGTGAGGCATGAAGTGATGATAAACTAGATGCAGATAATTTACTAGGTGGAGATGGAAAGCCAGGTGGAGGTGGAAAGCCAGGTGGTGGCGGCAAGCCACTAGAAAATGGCTGACTAGGTGGGCATGAGAGACCTGCTGGCACTTTGAATCCAGGTGGAGGTTTCAAAGCCTGACAACTTTGAACTAAAGGAGGGTTAGCATGAACTGCCGACATCTCCCCAGCAACATTTAAATTATGAGCTGGCTGAAGCCAACCAGCATCATCTGATGGGCAATCCAATTGCATAAACTGAGTGGCATTTTCTTGCTCAGATTTCTTTACAGATGAAGTTAAGTTACCTGTATGGAGGAATTTTGCTAAACTAGCAGGAGATTTATCCTCTTTTAAGTTGCCCTGAGTTGTTGGAACAGGAAGCCCACAACCACCCATGCTCAAGGTTGAAGAATTATATAAATTCTTATCTTTATTTGGCCCAATTAATTTTGGAATATTCAAGTTACTCAATGGTGATTGCATGGAACTGGGTAAGGTGGGTTTCTTTGTTGAAGACAAAAACTGAGAAGGTACGGCATTTTGATTAAAAGGTGAATTCTTTGAATGTAACGATTCAATTGGACAAGAGTTTTCCAACAGGTTTAGCATAGGCACATAGAATGTGGAAGCTGAAGTGGACCCAGAGCTCTCCATGTGTGCTGCTGCAAGTGATGACAAAGTAGGGCCAGAGCTCTCCTTGGGTGCTGCTGCAAGTGATGACAAAGTAGGGCCACAGCTCTCCTTGTGTGCTGCTGCAAGTGATGACAAGGTCGGCCCAGAGCTCTCCATGTGTGCTGCTGCAAGTGATGACAAAGTAGGGCCAGAGCTCTCCTTGTGTGCTGCTGCAAGTGATGACAAGGTCGGCCCAGAGCTCTCCATGTGTGCTGCTGCAAGTGATGACAAAGTAGGGCCAGAGCTCTCCTTGTGTGCTGCTGCAAGTGATGACAAGGTTGGCCCAGAGCTCTCCACGTGTGCTGCTGCAAGTGATGACAAAGTAGGGCCAGAGCTCTCCTTGTGTGCTGCTGCAAGTGATGACAAGGTTGGCCCAGAGCTCTCCATGTGTGCTGCTGCAAGTGATGACAAAGTAGGGCCAGAGCTCTCCTTGGGTGCTGCTGCAAGTGATGACAAAGTAGGGCCAGAGCTCTCCATGTGTGCTGTTGCTGCTAGTGATGACAAAGTGGGGCCAGAGCTCTCCTTGTGTGCTGTTGCAAGTGACGACAAGGTAGGGCCAGAGCTCTCCTTATATGCTGCTGCAAGTGACGACAAAGTCAGCAAAGAATTTTTACTGTCTGCTATTGTTAAGGAAGGTAAATTAAGCGTAGACTGCTCTGAGCCTGGTGATGTTGATAATACATCAGGAGTACAATTCTTTAAGTGTTCCATCTCAAGAGGTGTTATCAAATCTTTGTTTTTATTGAATCCCAAATTAGGCAAGTTTGAATTAAGGCAATATAAACCAGAACTTGCTGACTGCAATGAAACAGGGATGGTTAACTTGGGCACAGAAATGTTCAATTGTGAACTAGTAAGAGATGACAAACTAAAGTCAGGGCTCTGATGTAGTGTTGTAGTTGGGGCTGGTACAAGGTCCTGATTCAGAAAGGACGGACTCAAATATGCATTCCCTGCTTGCATTGAAGCAGCCGATAATGTACTGTTTGCCTCAAGGGGAATTTCGACTCCGTGCAATGGTGATTCAGAATACTTTTCAATGTCTGATTCAAACGAATCTGTAATTATATCTTGGTTATCTTCGCTTAGATCCTCAGATGTCATCTCCTGACTGTCTCCACTGATGGTAGTTGAATCTCCACTACACTGACTTTCATTCCTGGTCCGAGTCAAAGCTATAGCTTCTTCATTCTTTTTCTTTTTTACCATTCTTTTCTGAAGAATTTCAGTGTGCCACTCTTTCACCATTTTATGCAATAAGGGTCTTTCATAGGGCTTCTTATCAAAAAATATTGCCGATTCATAACAGTATGAATCTGGCAACTGGTACTGAATATTAATACTGTCCTCTGGTGTTCAGAAAGTATCCGATTATTGCAATAGTTGAACATTGAGCACAATTTCCATGTAGAAGTATTCCAATTTCAATTCCCCGGTGGTCATTAGCGTATACAAGACAGGTTCATGAAAAAAATGGAAAAAAAGAGCATTTTGTAAGTAACACTGAATAATAAGTTATGTAGGTAAAATTCAATACAAATTTCATCTTGTTTGCATTAGTGCAATTTTTTAAAAACAGAAATATGATAAAATACATTTCTTTTCACGCTGAATTCTAGGTAATGAAAAAAAAACACTTCCTCAGTGATCCCTCTGTTCTCTTACATGCCTCTTTTTTCCTTTTTGCAAACCCTGATCAAATTCTTCCCTCTCATTTCCCCTCTTGTTTTGCTGTCTTCCCATATGTCAAAGTTGTACTGGTTTATTACTTCCTATGTTTTTACACACCCATTGAATGTAATTTCAACTCTATTCTAAATTTCACTTGCTTTCTACAGCATGTCATTCTGATTTTGATTCTACCTAATTTTTCTCTAATCATTTCTTAACATATATATATACAGAACAGTACTGTATAGCCTTCACAAGATTCATTTACTTAAATTCAAAGCCCCATCAATTCTTTACATAAAATGCAGCATTAAATGTAATGAAGCACCTCTTTCTGGTGGGGCCTTGGGGGCTCTTTGGTGCTTGCTACTTGACAACCTTCATACAGTTTAACCACTGTTCTGCATAGAGCGCTTTAAGGCGCTCTGAGCTTGTACATGTGTTCTTTTTAATTAGGCTATATTTTGTTTGTGTGTGTTTTTTTTAATTAGGCTATATTTTAATGCTTTCATCACTCTTTGTGTTTTGAAATGAAAATGGTTGAGTTTAGAAATGGTTTGACATTAACTTTACCTGAACATTTATAAAAACAAGAAAAATATGTCCTTGAAAATTGCACTATGAAGGTTTTGCCGAAACCAGGTGCGCAGTGCGGTGGTTAATCCCCACCAGGGCCTTGCAAGTCATATATAAGCCAACCGGGGATCAAAGACGAAAACCTAGCCAGAAGGATCACCTATGCTGAGTGCTTCTCCAACCTGGACAACAGTTGTTGGGGCAATCAAATATAATGTAATTATTTAGAAAGGATACGAAAGGAATGAATCAGAGAAAAGTGCCAAGCCATTATGACTATATAGCACTTTTAAGGGATTTTTTGACAATGATTTGGGATGGGACTGGAAAAAGGAATGGTGTCCAACCACTTGGATGGTCAGAGGTTAAACACGGACCTGCATGAAGCAAGACCATTGCTCTACCGTCCAGCCCACGTGGTTGGACTAACTTCTTGCAAGGCCAACAGAAGGACGCGTTTTCGACAGTATACTCTATACGGAAGCAAGATAAAACATCTGCAAGAATGCTGGATCCACCCCCCAAACTTGAACTGTGTGGAGAACCAAACTCTGAGAAGCTAGAAGCCGAGCTGTGCACCTGGCAGAGCAGGTGCTAGTCACAAAATCCAAACCCAAAGTCAAAAAGTCAAGGTGTTCAAGACAATTGGGCACAGCCATTTGGATTGTGGCATTCTGGCATAGCCGGTTGGCCGCCCGGCTATGTAACTTTATTGAAAAATAAAAGTGTCAAATCTGTTAATCACTAAAAATTGTAATGTAGCTTTATAGGTTGGGTTAGGGTTTAATACTAGTTTAGGTTAGAATTCTATGTGAACCTGTTATCTGGTTGTTGAGGGCTGGACAGTTGTTTTTAGAATGGTGCTAAAACGTCCGTCGCCAAAATGGGCTGGTGCCAAAACATTTCAAGCCGGCCACTTGTTGGCGGCCATTTGCACTAGGGGGTTCAGGCTAGTTTCAAAACTAATTGTTTTGAATTAATCATTTTGAGGAGTGTCTGTTTCAGTGCTTTGTTTTCTGTGAACCTTATAGTTGTCTATATTGCTTCACTGATTTTCTGGATGCTTTCTCAGTATGGGTGATTGTCACACGCTCTGGACCCCAGTAGGCCAAATATGACTCTGACGGCAGAGGCAACTTAGTAGTTGGAAGACGTCTCAGCTTTAGTTGGGAACCACTAGTTGGACTAACCACCAAGAAGGCTCCTTCAGAAAGGAGCAAGCTTTCATGCATACACTGGGTTAGCTTATAATTTATTTAAACATTACTGACCCTCTGTCACTATGTGATGGAGTGCAAAAAGATACACAAATTCAGAGACAGTTCTATAACAAATGTTCAAGAGATGTGTAAATATTTGACTCAAAATGATCTGCTACCAGAAATTTTAACCAAATATCCCTAGTTTTGCTAACTATAGGTTGTAATTAAGTGATATGTATCCTATCCACCGCTGCCCACTGGATGGCTGCAGGTGGGGGGTGGTGTGCAGGATAAACCCATCAATTATGACACTAGCTCTCTTCATATGTCAGTTGCTTGATTTAGAAACTTGACTTTGGTCAAGCCCAATGTTGATGTGACAGTGTGCATCAAATTTTGTAACTAGCTCATCAAGACTATAACTTGCTTAGCAAATTTAATTTTGGGGTTCAGTCCCTGAGCCCATTATGTGCCTCTGAAGCCCTTTCCACTACTACCCACATGATGGGCATGGGGTGCATAATAACTAAAACTAGTCACGGTATATTTTTGCAGTGGTAAAAGTTATCTTACCTATTCCATGTGCCAGCAGGTCACTATCATCACTTGAGATACCATTGACTTTTTCATCTGAAATAAATGTAGAAGTTAAAAATACAGTAGTGTACACAATTATACAAAGCACAAACACTGAATACGATTGTACATTTAGAAAGACAACAAATCCGCAGTACACTTTTATTACTTTATATTTATACATCAGATAAATATACAGTAATATGATGCTCACTTCACTGACATTTTGTTACAGGTTAGCTAAAGCTAAACTGCAACAATAACAATGACTCATACTACTATTAATACATTGAATCGTTACATTAATGCATCTATATAATCACCTATATACTATACAGTATACTACATCTATACAGTCAGTAGTAAATTTGTGTTCTTTCTCAACTCACGATCGGGAATTCTGGGTTTGAATCCCGGGTGGGACAGAAATGATTGGATGCATATCCTATCACCTAATGTACCTGTTCACCTAGCAGTAAACAGGTGCCGAGGAATTTGTCAACTTGTTGTGGGGTTGCATAACGGAGGGGGGGGGTGGTGTCAGTTATTTGACCTTGGAAGGGGGGATGACCTCAATATAAACTTGACATGTATAGATACACTGGCTGCCTGTCTCCCAACACAATTAATTATTATTATTTGTTTAAAGAGGATATAAGCATACAAAACATAATGAGGAAAACTTTGCATTTGGAATTATGTCTTAGAAACATGTCTCATAGCTCAGCATTATCCTTTTGAACTATTTTTGTATTCTAAACCATAATGATCATTTAGTTTCCTGATCAACCAGGCTGTGATTCATACGTCAGGAGCGAGCAGCCGCATCCAACAGCCTAATTGACCAATCCAGTAACGAGGAGGCCTGATCGAGGACTGGGCCGCAGGGACGTTGAGCCCCAAAATCATCGCAAGGTAATTAAAAATGAATATAAGGTCTCAACCAAAAAGGATATGGTAATAGGGTAAGATTGCAGGTGCTTTTGACTGCCTGCACCAAAAGAATATATAGTGTGACAATGTCAGACCACGGAGGAAAATGAAACAGGAAATTTCCTTAAGTACTTTCGTATATTAAATACATCTTCAGAAGGAAGATCTGAAGATATACATTCCTTCTGAAGATGTATTTAATATACGAAAGTACTTAAGGAAATTTCCTGTTTCATTTTCCTCTGTGGTCTGACATTGTCACATTCTTAATCATGTGTTTATTTTCGTGATATACACACAATATAGTATATATTGTACCTGCACATTTTGGTAAAAAAATAAACAAATTTTGTTGTTATTTTAGCCTAAGTCCCAAAAACAGCTAGATCCAGCCCTGTCTGTACATCTTACCATATACTGTATTAGGAATCAAAATTCAGACACTTCGCAAGATGTCTCTAAAACATTCCCAAGTTTCCCCAACAGTGCCTGCTTTCCAAAATGGTTTACAACCTTATTGTTTCTACAAAAAACACTGAAGAATCTTTGAATATTTCATAGCTCCAAAGTTTCACTGGACATATATATATATACAGTATATACATATACTGTATAACATGTACGCCCTTATATAAAATATACTGGCAACCTTCCACAATAGACATTCTCATTTAATACTACTGTGACCTTGTCTTCACTGTCAAGGGATTGCCGATTCAAAGCGATTTTTTACACTTACAACAAAACCCATCGTATAGGTTAATAGGTTCACCGAATTCCCTCATAGTGATGCACTCTGCCAGGGCCTGCTTGGCCTTCAAATTTCCTTCCATAAGTGTCAACCAAGAAGTGGAAACCGTCTTGGGAAACCTCTGGAGAAACCACACAAGTATTGGACCCGTTATAAAATCGAAAAAGAATGCGTTTTTACACCTATTTTAAGTTGCAACGTTAATGCCACGGTGAATTACTTACCCTTGGCGCCATAGTAATGACTGGGAGGTCCTGTCTGAGACATATTTGCACTATTTGATATCAAAGTTCATAAGTCGTAGTGTTTCTTGTTTACCATCACACAAGTATGAGGCTGGTGTCCGAACACTCTCCTTAGTTCAATAACTAGTGATATATATACCACCTCACAAAGGTGAGGTGTTTTTATGGTATTCCTGATGCCAAACCATTACTTATTTTATTATTGTTAATTGTTGTATTTATAACTAGTAAATATATTGCAAATCGGACGTCTGATTACGCTAATTCTCAGTTAAAGCTAGAGACACTGGCAAGTGTCGGATACATGACGGTCAAGGAGTACAGAGTTTCGCGGGAATTTCAGCCTTCACAACATCGTGTTGATGTTCAATTCTGTCTTGTGTTGATAGTGCGCAACAATTCAATTCCATTCATTTTTTTTCTTTATTGTGTACCCCATACCCATCCCGTGGGCGGTGGTGGAAAGGGTTACAGAGGCATCCGATCCCTCGATCATCATCATTCCCCTAAGTCAACTACATGTGTTCAAGTTCAAATTCAAGAATGTTTATTGAGACAAGAAAAAATAACTCTCAAAGGGATTGAGTAGCTTAGGCTATTTCTATCCCCCTCCACTTCAAGGCGCACAAATTCAGTGAGTACAAATACGCAAATCACAATACAAGAATCCCATTTAACATTACAGGTTAATATAGTAAGCATAGCATATAAGTGTTAGACTCGGGACAAAATTCTTGAAGCTCCTAATTATACTGTCTATCATACCATTATCACACATCCAAATAATTTGATGTGGTACATTACTTATTTCTGTAGTTATCAATAAGTTGACACTCTAATACATAATGTTCTAAGGTGTGGGATTGATTGATGAAGATTAAGCCACCCAAAAGGTGGCACGGGCATGAATAGCCCGTAAGTGGTTTTAAGCCATTCCCAGTATCAAGAGCTGATACTGGAGATCTGTGGAGGTGCGAATGCACCCTGCATGATGGGAGATGTCTCCCTTGTGAATGTGTTAAGATGAAGATGAAGCCACCCAAAAGGTGGCACGGGCATGAATTGGTAAGTGGTGGCCCTTTTGAGCCATCACCAGTATCAATAGATGATACTGGAGATCTGTGGAGGTGCGACTGCACCCAGCGTGACGGGAGATGTCTCCCGTGTTTTAAACAGAAGATGAAGATGAAGCCACCCAAAAGGTGGCTCGGGCATGAATAGCCCGTAAGAGGTGGCCCTTTTGAGCCATCACCAGTATCAATAGATGATACTACAGATCTGTGGAGGCGCGACTGCACCCTGCGTGACGGGAGATGTCTCCCGTGTGAATGTGTTAAAATGAAGATGAAGCCACCCAAAAGGTGGCACGGGCATGAATAGCCCGTAAGTGGTGGCCCTTTTGAGCCATCACCAGTATCAAGAGCTGATACTGGAGATCTGTGGAGGTGCAAGTGCACTCTGCGTGACGGGAGATGTCTCCCATGAATGTGTCCAAGATTACGATTAAGCCATCCAAAAGGTGGCACGGGCATGAATAGCCCGTAAGTGGTGGCCCTTTTGAGCCGTTTCCAGTATCAATAGATGATACTGGAGATCTGTGGAGGTGCGACTGCACCCTTCGTGACGGGAAATGTCTCCCGTGGATGAGTAGATTGATGATTGATGAAGATTAAGCCACCCAAGAGGTGGCACGGGCATGAATAGCCCGTAAGTGGTGGCCCTTTTGAGCCATCACCAGTATCAATAGATGATACTGGAGATCTGTGGAGGCGCAACTGCACCCTGCGTGACGGGAGATGTCTCCCGGACCAAGTGGTGACCAAATGGTGAGGGTGTGGGCGTGCGGCATACTATATAATTTACACTCCTTATCTTTTTTCACTGACATCAACACCATATTGCCAAATATATTTGCATCCTAATCTTAGTCTCATGTAAATTGAATCCTTCCAAATAGACTTTCCTCTACCATAGGTGAAGGACGAGTTTGTATTTATTATTGAATAATTCTTAAGTGTGTTACTATTGTCTACCATTGCCATTCTCTTAACCATTTCTTCACCCTCTTGGATCATCTTGTTTCTTGTTTTTATTTGTTTCAAGGTTAACTGACATACAACATCAACAAGAGTTTTTTCAGTGGCTCTCTTCGCTATGTCATCAACTACCTCATTCAACAGAATTCTCTCATGTGAAGGGATCCACATGAATCTTACTTTATACCAAGTTTTTTCTAATTTCTTAACATTCTTTCTACACTCTATCACAATATTCTGGTATACTGGGCATCTGCTATTTAAAGACTAACGCTCCTCTACTGTCAATAAAGAAGCAGGCATTTTTACCACATTTGACTACTTCCTGTAATGCTGCTAATACACCTTAGAGTTTAGCCGGAGTTGAAGAGACATTGTCAGTTAAGCGGCGTCCAAAACAGTATCATATGAACATAAGGTAACTGCAGAAGGCCTATTGGCCCATACGAGGCAGCTCCTATTTATAACCACCCAATCCCACTCATGTACATTTCCATCCAACGCTTGAAACAATCGAGGAACTCCACCTCCACTACGTTTCGTAGTAATTGGTTCCACAAATCAACTACCTTGTTACCGAACCAGTATTTACCAAAGTCTTTCCCAAATCTAAACTTGTTCAATTTCTTCCCATTGTTTCGCATTCTGTACTGTGTTGATACTTTTAATACTCCATTAATATCCGCTTTGTTATTTCCATTCATCCACTTGTAAACCTCTATCATGTCACCCCTAACACTTTGCCTTTCCAGTGATTGCAATTTAAGCTTTGTTAATCTTTCCTCATATGAAAGATTTCTAATTTGCGGAATTAAGTTTGTCATTCTACGCTGGACTCGTTCAAGTGAATTTATATCCATTCAATAGTACTGCGACCAAAACTGAACTGCATATCTAAATGGGGCCTAACTAGAACTGAAGAACAACACCAGGTGTCTTGTTACTAACGCTTTGATTAATAAATCCCAGTGTCCTATTTGCCTTATTATGAAGATTTATGCATTGATCCTTTGGTTTTAAATTCTTACTAATCATAACTCCCAGATCCCTTTCGCATTCCGACTTCGCAATCTCAACACCATCCAGCTCGTATCATGTAACTCTATCATCATTAACTAGCCTCAAAACTTTACATTTATTAGCATTAAACAGCATCTGCCAATATTTTGACCATTTCAAAACCCTATTTAGATCAACTTAACTGCAGAAGGCCTATTGGCCCATACGAGGCAGCTCCTATTCTATAACCACCCAATCCCACTCATATACTTGTCCAACCCGTGCTTGAAACAATCGAGGGACCCCACCTCCACAATGTTACGCGGCAATTGGTTCCACAAATCAACAACCCTGTTACTGAACCAGTATTTACCCAAGTCTTTCCTAAATCTAAACTTATCCAATTTATATCCATTGTTTCGTGTTCTGTCCTGTGTTGATACTTTTAATACCCTATTAATATCCCCCCGGTTATGTCCATTCATCCACTTGTAAACCTCTATCATGTCACCCCTAACTCTTCGCCTTTCCAGTGAATGCAACTTAAGCTTTGTTAATCTTTCTTCATATGAAAGATTTCTAATTTGGGGAATTAACTTAGTCATCCTACGCTGGACACGTTCAAGTGAATTTATATCCATTCTATAATATGGCGACCAAAACTGAACTGCATAATCTAAATGGGGCCTAACTAGAGCAAGATATAGCTTGAGAACCACACCAGGTGTCTTGTTACTAACGCTGCGATTAATAAATCCAAGTGTCCGATTTGCCTTATTACGAACATTTATGCATTGATCCTTTTGTTTTAAATTCTTACTAATCATAACTCCCAGATCCCTTTCGCAATCCGACTTCGCAATCACAACACCATCTAGCTCGTATCTTGTAACTCTATCATCATTACCTAACCTCAGAACTTTACATTTATCAGCATTAAACTGCATCTGCCAATCCTTTGACCATTTCAAAACCCTATCTAGATCAACTTGAAGTGATAGTGAGTCCTCCTCCGAATTAATTTCCCTACCGATTTTCGTATCATCGGCAAATTTGCAAATGTTGCTACTCAAACCTGAATCTAAATCATTTATATATATTATAAACAACAGAGGTCCCAGGACAGAGCCTTGAGGCACTCCACTTACAACATTTTCCCACTCTGACTTGATTCCATTTATACTAACTCTCTGTTTCCTTTGGTATAGCCATGCCCTAATCCAGCTTAATATAGCACCCCCAATACTCTTATCCCCTGCTCAGACACTATTTTTTTACCCCTCAGCTCTTCCCCTTCCTTCTCTTATGTGCTCTACTTCCTATCTTACCCATCCTCCTGCTCTTCCCCTAATTCTCAACCCCCTCCCCCTGCTCTACCTCTTTCTCTTCTTAACCCTCTCCCTGCAATTCTCTTACCGCTCCCCCTGCTCAGCCCCTGCCTTCTCTTACCCCTGCCCTGCTCAGAATGCCTTCTCTTACCCCTCCCCCTGCTCTTCCTCTTCCTTCTCTTATAAGAACATAAGAACATAAGAACAAAGGTAACTGCAGAAGGCCTATTGGCCCATACGAGGCAGCTCCTATTCTATAACCACCCAATCCCACTCATATACTTGTCCAACCCGTGCTTGAAACAATCGAGGGACCCCACCTCCACAATGTTACGCGGCAATTGGTTCCACAAATCAACAACCCTGTTACTGAACCAGTATTTACCCAAGTCTTTCCTAAATCTAAACTTATCCAATTTATACCCATTGTTTCGTGTTCTGTCCTGTGTTGATACTTTTAATACCCTATTAATATCCCCCCGGTTATGTCCATTCATCCACTTGTAAACCTCTATCATGTCACCCCTAACTCTTCGCCTTTCCAGTGAATGCAACTTAAGCTTTGTTAATCTTTCTTCATATGAAAGATTTCTAATTTGGGGAATTAACTTAGTCATCCTACGCTGGACACGTTCAAGTGAATTTATATCCATTCTATAATATGGCGACCAAAACTGAACTGCATAATCTAAATGGGGCCTAACTAGAGCAAGATATAGCTTGAGAACCACACCAGGTGTCTTGTTACTAACGCTGCGATTAAT